TATAAATCCTAAACCCCTAAACCCTAAATCCTAAATCCTAATATCCTAAACCCAAAACCCTAAAAGCCTAAATCCCTCTAAATCCCTAAACCCTAAAACCCTAAATCCTAAAACCCCAAACCCTAAAACCCTAAACCCTAAAACCCTAAAGCCCTAAACCCCTAAACCTAAAACCGTAAAACACTAAACCCTAAAGCCCTGAACAACCCTCAACCCTAAATCCTTAACCCTAAACCCTTAACCCCAAACCCTAAACCCTTCACCCCAAACCCTAAAACCCTAAGAACCCTAAACCCACAATCCCTGAAAGGTCAAAGGCACGGCGTGGCACCCCGGAGATCCGGCCGATGGCACTCCGCCCCGGCCTGCTTACAACTTACCTATAGGGTCATACCCTACCCCTTTGTTAAGGTACCTAGTTTTGAGGTTAGGAACTGCTATATAAAAAAGTAGGTACTCTAAAAACAAGGTTGGGTATGACCCTATAGGTACAACAATGGTGTGGGTTAAGGGCTTACGGGTAGTTCAAGGTTTAAGGGTACTTTTAAAGTTTAAGCGTAGCTTATGGTGTTTAGGGTTTATAAAGGTAGTTCAAGGTTTAAGGGCACTTGTAAATTTCAAGGGTAGTTTAGGGTTTAAGGGAAGTTTAGGGTTTAAGGGTACTTTAGGGCTTGAGGGTAGTTTGGGGTTTGAGGGTAGTTTGGGGTTTAAGGGTAGTTTAGGGTTTAAGGGTAGTTTGGGGTTTAAGGGTAGTTTAGGGTTTAAGGGTAGCTTGGGGTTTAAGGGTAGTTTAGGGTTTAAGGGCAGTTTAGGGTTTAAGGGTAGTTTAGGGCTTAAGGGTACTTTAGGGTTCAAGGGTAGTTTAGGGTTTAAGGATACTTTAGGGTATAAGGACACGGGGTTTAAGAACACTGTAGGGTTTAAGGGTACTTTGGTGTTTAGGGGTACTTTAGGGGGTTCCTATTCCTATTATGACGCCTTCTACAATGGGTCTGCAAGGGTTTCGGGATTGAGGCGGCGCCACCACGATGCCACCCAGTCCTGGTTCTATTTCAGAAGCAAGCAGGACGGCCGTCACGGACTTTCTCTAATAGAGCCTGTGCCCTTCTACTTCAGACTTTTCAAGCTCTCTCGAAGGAAGCTTGCTGCTAGACAGGCGGTTTTGCTCAGACGCGTGCCAGCAGTTGGTTTTCCATCATCGCCTGCTTACAAAGCAGAACCACGCGAACTGACTCGACGGCCCCATACGCCGCGGTGGACCTTTTGGATCTGCAGCGCTGCATCATGCCCAGCATGCTGAGCAATAGAAGCCGCTAGTAAGGATCACCAACCAACACTGCGCCAGCGACGCTCTCATCCAACAAAAACTCGCAATAGCATCAGGAGATAGATTGTATTCTACTGCCACTTTTATCACTTTTGAGGGGTTGTGCTCTTGCTCTTGCTCTTGCTCTTGCTCCTGCTCTGGCTCCTGCTCTTGCTCTTGCTTCTGCTGCGTCTCGCCTGCCTGCTCCTGCTCTTGCTGTTGCTCCCGCTTTGCTCTTGCTCTTGCTCTTACTCCCGCTCTTGCTTTGGCTTTGCTCTGGCTTTTGCTCTTGCTCTTGCACCTCTATAAGGGTATTTGGAGCCTCGAAACCCTCCCTCTCATTCAGAATAGGTTTAAAAGGGCAGAGATGATCTCGGGAGGATTCGCCCCAATGTGCTTATATTATTAGGGGGCTTCGGAGGATTTGGGATGTACTGCATGGTGCGATCCCACAGCAAATCGTACTCAATACCTTTTGATTCGGGGCCTGGGACGCACCACGTACATCAAACATGAAACACTGTCAACAAGGTCTCTAAAGCCGAAAGACCCTAATTTTTGCGTCATAACACCCCGAAACCTGAACCCTGCGTCACGGCAACGCAAAGCCTATCAAACCTTTCAACAGTTTCTGCAAAGCCCAAAAAGCGCAACCACAGTAATGAAACCGCCGTTGAACATACAAACAGACTTAAACCCTAAACCTTAAACCCTAAACCCTATAAACCCAACGGCTCCTGAACCCTAAAGCCCCATAAACCCTTAACCCAAAGGCTCCTGAACTCTAGAGCCCCTTATATAATCCAGCCTGAACCAGCCACCTTGCGAGCTGGAAATGGCCGAAAAAACCTGGGCGGCACAGAGCAGCGGAAGCTGAGAAGAGCGCACAGGCTTACCCTAAACCCTATAAACCCGAAAATTCCTAAAGCTCCTCTAAGACTTAGAGGTTTAGGGCTTTAGGGTAGGGTTTAGTTTAGGGTTTAGGGCTTCGGGTTTAAGGTTTAGGGTCTATAGGGCTTTAGGGTTCAAAAACAACGCTTAGGGGAGTCTGAGGGGATTACAGGCCTCTTTGCACTAAGATCTATGTAGGACCCCGTTTGCAGAGGGTTCTCTAAAATGGCTAAGGCTTTAGAGTTTGGGGTCCTCTGAGGGTTCGAAAGTGGCTTCCGGGTTTAGGGCACTAGGGTTCTGGATTCTAGCGTTGAGGGCTTTAGGCTCAGTAGTTTAGGGTTGTCAAGGGTTCGAGGGTTTATTGGACATCGGGTTGATGATATAAGTCCTGCATTACCCACAATAAGGATATACCACAATTCCCATAGTCTAGGGTCCTTAAGGTAATGCAGGATTTATATCCTAAACCCTGAACCCTGGCGCTAGGAGCTCGATACTACGCAGAGGTTGCGGCCAGGGCTCGTAGAGGGGTTCTACACGGTATTGTAAGGCGGGCGACCCACACTCTAAACACTAACACCCTAATACCCTACACCCTAAACTCAAAACCCCCGAAATCCTGAACCTAAACTCTGAACCTTAATGATCCCAGGTGCACGCCATGTGAAGCGGACTTGCGCCACCAGGATCCGCTTTCTTCAGGTTTGCTCCCCCCTGCCACTGAGGTCTTCTTTTTAAAGAACATACCTAAACCCGCAAAAGTAGGAAATGGCCCGATACCTAGTTAACAAGAGGCTATCCTTCTACATACTGCTGGGGTTCAGTTAGGGCTTATAGGGTTTGTATTTGATCCTGCAAGGTATCTAATGTATGGGTTCAAGGCTAGACGGTCCTGCCAGGCAGGTACCCCCAGGCTTGTGTGTGGTTACAGTATAGGGTCTGGACCGGTGGGGGTTTTGGGCTTAGGGGTTAAGGGGCGCCTTGCATAAACCTAACCTAGACCCTAAGCCCTAAACCTTTAAAGCCCTGGAAACTAAACAAGGGGCTCTTAGGGTTCGAACTTGGGCTCTGGTCGGTTTACAAATGCGCTTCCATACGGGGCGGGATTCCATGTTAAGGTCCTTAAGGACGAAACGACCCTTAAAAGTAAGGGCCATATACCCTTGTAGTATGAATCACTATATGGTATATGAACCTGAAACCCTTTTGGGGTTCATTTCGTCCCTAAGGATTCCTTTAAATTGGGCCACTGCAATAAGGATCCCGCTTTCTCCCGTCTATGCTAGAGTCCCCCATTTCCGGAAATTCGATGTTGTTGTTACAGTAACCGTTGCCGGATGATTCATACTAGTCCCCGTTTCTGGAAACTCTCTGCTGTTGTTACAGGATTCTTACGACGCTCTTGCAGGATAGGTTCTGTCTAAGTCTAGGTTCCCAAAAATCCCTGACAGTAAGGGCATCATTTCCGCTGTTGTTCAACTTGATCAGGCAACCCGAAGAAAATGCATCATAATGGCCATATCGGGATGTACGGCATTGAGTAATATACTGCCCTAGTTTAGGATTTAGGGGTTTAATGTTTAAGAATAATATACTGCCCTAGTTGTGGCAACTTGGAATTAAGCTCCACAGTCTGATCTGAGCTTCAAGCGAGGGGGGCTCCCAGATTGTCATACAGTAAGCCCGCCCCAAAACGTTGGAAACCGGATTAAGGACAAATAGTGCTGGGATTCCCTATAGACAAATAGTGCTGGGATTCCCTATACATTACTCTTAAGGATTGAGGCTATTGAGTTTCCAACTTTTGGGCTTCTACTTTAGACCCTAAATCCCAATCTTGCTTTCACGTAATGTGACTTGGCTTGGCCTCCACCAGAACACGCACAAGGTCAAGGTGCCCACGGACAGAGGCTACCTGAGCATTTGTGCGGTTCTGTGAGACTACATGCCTTTCCACGATAATAAGGGTTAACGCTTAAGGAGTTATCTGACAAAGGGACCTCCTTCTAGATTCTCCCAAAACCTTACAAAATCTAAAACGGCGAGAACGCAGAAAGAATGAGCAGTACCCAATCCGCCTCAAAATCCCGAACCAACCCTAAAACCTAAACCCTCAGGTTTCGCTGTGCAGGCCTGCCACCAGCACCCTGTACAAGAAATCCTATAATCGGAGCGCCCCGCATATTACCCCTGAGCCCAGGTCCTAAAACTCCGAACCCACAACCAGAGATCGAAACCCTTATACCCTAAACCCTCAACCCCAAACCCCTAAAGCCCTAAACCCTAAACCCCTAAAGCCCTGAAGGCTCGAAGATTGGAACAAAAAATGTTGAAATGACAATTCCAAGGCTGGTCGTTTTCTTGTTGAGCGCTCCTTTCTCGGTCCGCCGAAGCCTCCCGACTAACCCCGTGGGGTGAGCGACGGCCGCTCGGGTTTAGGGCTTTAGGCTTCGAGCTAAGGGCCACTTACATTGCACAGAAATGTTCTATAAGGATACTCTGTGGACTATCTGCATACTTACTATTCATAAGGCTTCGGGGGTCGAAGACACGATGAGCGCTCAGGACTAAGTAATATATTGTTTAGGGTTTAGGGTTTAGAATAATTAGTTTAGGGTTTAGGATTAAGGGTTTAGGGTCATACTGATATTCACGCTACTGCTAGATTAAACTTTAACCATATCAAACCCTAACCCCTAGTCTTTGCTTCCGGGGCACACACAGCGGCGTTGTGCCAGACTTGGTTGCCTGATGCCCCACCCACTGTTCATGGGACGGGCGGGGGGGGAGCTCTAGAGCTTCGCACAAGGGCCTTGATGGATAGAATCGGGATTAGGGTGTAGAACCTACTTTTAAGTATATCGGTACTGTAATGAAGGGGATATTGCTGGCCCCTTATCTTAAATTCCAGTCGGATACAGACAAGAGAACAGACAACACAAAATGACACAAAAGAGGTCTTGGGTTGCGATGGGGCCTAAATCTAGAGCCCTCGGTGGTGTTCGAGATCGGGGCTCCCTTCTTAGTTACAACGGAAAACTCAACCGGAACACCACGAAACTCTGAATCTCTAAAGTCCTGGACTTTCAACCATCCTTGAACGACGGGACCAAAAAGATACGCACGGCGGAATGTGGAGACTTCGTCTTCGAGTTGCACAAGAAATGCCACGGTCGCGGAGCTGACAAGTCTCCATGCGTTTCCATATTCAAGGTTTACCGAAACACAAACTAACAAGTTCCAACCTCATACTACTGACAAAACATAGCGACAATATTCATTAACCCAGAGGCTCCAAATAGACTACCACTATGGAATTAGGTCCTTAAAGCCATAATAGGTATGGTCTTTTGGGACCTAATTCCATAATGGAAGTCTATATGGAGCCTCTGGGTAAGGTTTGGAAAACTCGACCTTATATGCACAAACCTTAAACCCGGAATCCCTGATCCGAAGCTCGCGACGCCGAACCTTGAGCCCTAAATTATAAACCCGATACTATAAGCCCTAAACCCAAAACTCCCACTAAACCCCAAAGCCTTAAAACGTCACCCCTAGACCCTGAACCCAAAACCC